AATCTCCCGTGGGATCTACATATCTAGGCAGGACAGCCTTGGCTACAGGGAGACCATGGCTTAAAAACAGAGCAAAACATAAAAAATTTAAAATGAAAAATAACAGGGAGACAGAGTGAATCCAGGAGAGGCCAGGGAGGGAGCAGACGGTCACATCTGTGGACACACACACACACACACACACACACACACACGTCAATGAAGAAAAAACAAAACAACCAACCGTCCAGGAAAGGAAAGGAAAAAGGAAGAGGAACCAGGCAAGGTCAGGGTCTGGAAGCCGGGAGAGAAAGGAGAGGCGGGTGAGAGGGGAGAAAGTTCCCGTAGTCGTGGGTTGGAGGGAGGAGCCCGGGATCCCCGCGGGCCGCCCCGGAAAGAAATACTTGATGGCCTATAAAAGCGCGGATATCGGGACAGTGACAGTCGCTGCCCGGCCATGGCCATGGACCGGAGCACGCTGGATGAAGAGGATCCCACGGATGCAGGGCACCGGCATAATGCACACGCGGCGGATGCACACCCCTCAGACACTGCGCGGCCAGTGCACCCTGCTCTCGGCAAGCTTGAAGAGCACTTCGCTGCTGTTCCGGATCCCGAGGCCCCAGGGCCGCACGTGCCACCCGGTCGTTCCCATCGTTCGCTGCTCTGCGCCCTGGGCGCCGCGGTCCTGCTGCTCGCTGCCACCTGTGTCGCCTCCTTCACCCGCACGTGGACCCTTCCTGCGTCCACCGTCCCCACTCTGCCCAGCCCGGGGCCCCCTGTTGCCCGCAGTGGCTGCCTCAATGCGACGACGTGGCAGGTGAGACACGTCCCACCCCTTTCTTACCCTCTGTAAGCAGCCCTCCGCTCCGACTAAGGGAGGACACCCCATTGACTCTCTTGGGGCTCCCCTTCTTCTAGCACTGGGTGGGAGACCTCGTTTGTAACCTGCATCCCTACTTGTTCTAATATACATGAGGGGTCCGGGAGGAGGATCCCCCAGGGATTACCTTCCCCGCCTACGACTGAGGGCACCCCAATTTGTGGACATAGGGCCCACAAAATCACCCTCTATAGCTGGGAAAAGATACTCCACTGTCTACTCAGGATTCTCTTTGTGTGTGACTAAGGAGTGCGTCCTCCTTTTTCTACCATCCTTTTAGGGTACTAGGAAATCCAGGACGGAGGAGCACCCCCTTTGTTACCCTATGCCCCTAGGGTCTCTGTTCGTCTGGGACCCTTGAGGGCTCCATTCCAGCCTGAGATGCATCCCCTTTTTACCCTGTGCCCTCTGGGGTCCCTATCTGTGTCCCTGGAACAAGATGCAAACCCTTTCTGTAACCTTCACATTCTCCAAAGGCACTTTTACAATTTTGCCTTGGAGCACCAGGGACCACCGATTCCTTTGCTGACTCCTAGAGAGCTTCATTATTCTCCCAGAAGTTGGGGGGTGTTCCTTCACCCTAAGGCCTCTGGGGAGGGGTCCCAGTTCCTCTCCCAGGTCTTGGGGATCCCCCTCCATCCTCTAGGGTTTGTGTGGCTGGGATAGATCAGGGCATTAAATACCTGTGTGTTCTTTGGGTTTGGGAGTGTTGAGGGTTGAGTCCTGCTCAGGGTGGCGTCCCCTGTGAGGAGCCCCATTGTCTGGGACCTGTGGGTGTGTGTGGGAGCTTCAGCCTCTGTTCTCACTCCTATCTTCTTTCTCCCCAGGGTGCTCCAGTGTTTGCCAAGCTGCTAGCTTCTGGTGAGTGTCCTGACATTTTCTCAGCGACCCCTGTCGGGAATTTGAAAAGTGGGGGCTTTGCACCTGTAACTTGTCTGTCCGCAGCTTCCAAGTCACCTCTGTCCATCACCATCACCACTTCAGCCTCTCTGGCTGTGGGAACCTTGATTCCCATCCTGGTGGCTAGGTCTGGGTCTCAGGACTTGGAACCTCTCACCTTCAGCTTGGCCTGGGAGACTCCAGCTCTCTCAATCCCAGGGCTTTCTCTTCCTTCCCCTTCCTGTCCAGTCCTTTCTCCCTTCCCTCTATGTAGTCCAGGCTGGACTTCAACTCCCTATGCAGCCAGGCTGACCCTGAACTCTTGATCCTCCTGCCTCTACCTCCCAGTGCTTTTTTTGAGACAGGGTCTCTCTGTAGCCCCAGCTGGCCTAGAGCTCACTGTGTAGACCAGGCTGACTTTGAACTCATAGAGGGACCTGAGATCAAAGGCTTCTGCCACCCACACTTGGTCTCGTGTCATTCCACGTTGGTTTCCTTGAATTTGTGTTCCCTCTGGGTCACCTTTCTCCTCCCTCAGCGTTCCTCAATTCTGTCCCCTCCTCTCCTCCCCAAGTCCCACAGTCCCACTTCCCCACATCCACCTTCTTGGCATCCTACCATCCTCACAACCCACTCCTTTTCTGGTAGAAGCATCTTTGAAGAACGGGACCCTGAGTTGGTACCACGAAGAGGGAATCCGCAATGTTCACCTGTCACCGGGTTTGAGGTATGACAAAGCCACACAAGAGCTGGTGGTGCCTGAGGCTGGCCTCTACTTCGTCTTCCTAGAACTGAAGCTGAGTCCCACACTGTCCCCAAACACAAGCCGCCGGGTGCGAGGCCAGGTCTCCCTTGTTCTGCAACCGCAGCCTCCAATAGCTGACCTGCACAACCCTGCCCTGACTGTGAACCTGTTTCCGTCCTCCATGGAGGCCTCTGTGGTTGCAGGTTCCTGGAGTCACCTGCTGTACCTACGGGAGGACCACCGGCTCAGTGTGGGTCTGAGTGCCCATCTGCATGGAGCAGATGGGGCACACAAATCTTGGGAGCTGTCTAAGCTCAGTACCACCAACTTTGGACTCTTCTGTGTGAACCCCCAAATCCCAGTGGAGCTAATGTCTCCATGAAGGCTGGACATGCCTGCTGCCAGCCTTTCCCTTCCATGTGATCCCCCCACTGAGACCCCGAGCTGCTATTTCTCATGGGGCCCAAGCAGGGGTATCGCCTCCTTCCCAGGACTCTGTCCACCTCCTCCTGCCCCAAGCCGGACTCTATTTATTGTGAGCCTAGGCTCAAGCTATATTATTTCATTTATAGCATTAGCTACTCCTTGGACAGGTGCTAATGAGAAATGGGTTAAAAAAAAGGTTCTGAGAGAAGAATCTTTATTTATATTAATATTCAAGAAATAAATGTATTGAGAAACAAGTTCTTTTCATTTTTATTATTTTTGGTTTTTACCTTCAGTTTTTGCATGTCAATAGGTGAGTATGCAAGCATGCATGTTTTTGCATACAACACCTGTATAAAAAGGCAGACTTTGCACTTGTAATTCCAGAGCTTGGGGATGGGGACAGGTGGATCCCTGGGGCTCATTGGCCAGCCAGTCTAGACAAATAGGTGAGCTTCAGATTCAATGAGAGACCTTGCCTCAAAGAAGAATATCTAGGGGCTGGAGAGACAGCTCAGAGATTAACACTGACTGCTCTTGCAGAGGACCCAGGTTTGGTTCTGAGCACCCACTTGGTGGCTAACAACCATATGTAACTCCAGTTCCAGGGGATCTAATGTCCCTGGATCTAATGACTCAGGTCCTCATGCTTGTGAGGCAAGCCTTTAACTGATTGAGTCATCTTTGCAATACCCACCCCTTTTTTAAGACAGGGTCTCCTGTATACAGACCAGGCTACATAGCCTAGGGTGACCCTGAACTGCTGATCCCTCTGCCTCTACCTGAGATGACAGGAGTGAGCTAGGCAAGCGCTCTAGCACACCCCTTTGTCCTAGCTCCCAGGTGCCATCTGAGTTTCTGTGAGCCCACCTGTGAATAAGCCAGGAAAAACACAAATGAAAAACGAAAACACCCAGCTTTGGCAAAGCTAATGATCTATTGTTTTCTTGCTTTTTGATGTGGAAGTCTAGGATTTCTTACATGGCAGAGTTGGTGTCTAGGTGTTATTAGACCAGGAGACAGAGCCTGTAGGAGCAAAATAGCTACAGACAAGGGTGTAATGAGGAAGAATTTAGTAAATAAATCAGCCCCATGGTTGTCTGTCCAGGAGTTCAAGGTCATCCTGGATCTATCTATCTATCTATCTATCTATCTATCTATCTATCTATCTATCTATCTATCATCTATCTATCTATCTATCTATCTATCTATCTGTATCTATACCTATCTATCTCACATATAGGTACATATACATATAGGTATATGTATATAGTGACATGAAGGCCATCCTGGGCTACATGAGATCCTGTCTTCAAAACACATGCACAAAACAGACAAAAATCCAGCAACCAGAAATGCCACAAATCAGCCTGACAATTGCAATTTAAACACTCAGTAAGTAGAGGCAGGGAGGATCAGGAGTTCAAGATCATCTTCAGCTACAAAATGAATTTGGGGCCAGTCTGGGCTACAAAGGATTCTGTCTCAAAAAAGAGAAATAGCTGGGTGAGGTGGAGCACACCTTTAGTCCCAATACTTGGAGGCAGAGGCAGGTGGATCTCTGTGATATCAAGGCCAGCCTGGGCTACATAAGGAGTTCCAGGCCAGCTGGAGTTACAGGGAGACCTGTCTCAAAAAAAACCAAGCAAGCAAGCAAGCAAGCAAGCAACCAACCAACCAACCAACACCCCCTCCAAACCCCAAACAACAACAAACAAACAAACAGACATATAACTAATTTTGCAATCTGGGGATCCTGGGATGCTGGGAGCTAGGTTCCTCCCATGTCTGAGGCACCCCAGTAACTGAAGCCTGTGGGTGATATAAACCAGGTCTCAGACTGGGGGAAGGGGGCCAGTGAACACAGCAAAGCATTTGTAAACTCTGCATCTCTGAAATGTGCATTTCCTCTGTTCTGGGTGAGTCATCTGAATTCAAACCCACAGCTACCCTGAACCTCAACAGATTTTCTTTTTTAAAAAAGTTTCCATTTCAGTTTCTAATTCTGCACTTCAGGCTACTTACCCAGCTTGCTTTCTCGAAGTGGAAATATCTTTGTGCGTCCCAACTTGGTGGATTCTGTATTTAACAGTGACGTCACCACAGGACTTTAGCGTTGGGCAGAGCAGAAATGGCCAGGTGCTGTACCAGATGGGCTTTGAATTTCAAGGTGAGTCTTTTCAGCAACCCAGAGACTAGGGAGTGGAAGAAGGTCAAGTTTAAAGTTTTAAAATTATTTATTTAGGGCTGCAGAGATGGCTCAGCAGTTAAGAGCACTGACTGCTCTTGCAGAGGACCTGGGTTCAATTCCTAGTACCCACATGGTGGCTACGAACCGTCTTTAACTTCAGTTCCAGGGGAATCTGAAGCCCTCTTCTGACCTCCGTGGCATTGCACAACACGGGTGCACTCACATACATGTAGGCAATACACTCATACACATGAAATAAAAGTAATACATAAAATATTTTAAAAATTATTTATTCATTTATTTATTTTTGTATGTGCACGAGTGTTTTGCCTGCATGTGTGCAAGTGCAGTGACCTCAGAGGTCAGAAGATGGTGTCTGATCCCCTGTGACTGGAACTATAGAGGGTTGTTAGCTGCCATGTGGGTGCTGGGAACTGAACCTGAGTCTGCAAGAGTGCTCTTAACCGCTGAGCCATCTTTCCAGACCGGGGTTGAGTGTTTTAATACCAACAATTTAGCAAAGAAGTTGTGCAGGTCACTGACATGCACGTGAGCTAACCCTCCTCCCCTCATTGTCACCATTAAATTTTATTTATTTTTGCTTTTTGAGACAGGGTCTCCCTGTAGCCCCAGATGCCCCAGAACTCACTATGTAGACCAGGTTGGCCTTGATCTCATAGAGATCTGCCTGCCTCTGCTTCTATGCCCAGCCCTTAAATTTTATCTAATCTTGTGAAAGCAAGCCTAGGCTGGAGCTGGAGCTCAGTGGTGGGAGGGCTTGCCTAGTGTGCATGAAGCCTTAGGTTTCAGCTCCAGCACTGAATACATTCTTGTAAAAAAATAATATATACAGGGCATGGTGGCACATGCCTTTAATCCTAGCACTTTGAGCTGGGGCTACAGGGAGACTCAGTCTCAAAACAAAAACAACAAAAATATATGCATATATATATAAATCTATATTTGCATAAGAAAACAGTATTACAGTGTTTTGTTCTGTCTCTGTCTCTGTCTCTGTCTCTCTGTCTCTGTCTCTCTCTCTGTCTCTGTCTCTCTCTCTCTCTCTCTCTCTCTCTCTCTCTCTCTCTCTCTCCAGGCCTGGAGTTGATGTCCTGGTATCTCTATTGTTCTCTATCTTTTGTTGTTGTTGTTGCTGTTTGGCTGGCTTAGAACTCATTGTGTAGACCAGACTCACAGAGTTCTGCCTGACTCTGCCTCCTGAGTGCTGCAGTTGAAGGTGTTCACCAGCACACCCAACTATGGTGCACATTTTAGAGTTGCCTAGCATCCTTGATCAAGTGCCTTGATTTCTCTTGGCTTAGTGTCTACCATGATAAATCTCAAAGTTGATCTCTCTGTCATGGGCTTTTAGGAACATTAAGATAAGAGGTTTCATGACAGTACTTGGCGCTTACCTAAAACATGGAGGTTGTAATTATTGGATTAATAAGACCCTGGAGGGACAGTTTCAAGAGTTCCCAGCAACACGTGCAAAAGTCCAGAGGTGGAGGGCGGGGGCGGGGTAGGGGGAGCTGAAAGATCAGGTACGTTTGCAGATGTCAGCCCCAAACCTTACGCAGTACAGGACTGCCCTTCGACAGACAGACACCATCTTCCTGAGCTCAACTGAACCCGATTCCATGTGGCCACACTGGGAAGAGCTCCACAGCTGGGCTTGTTGACTGATGACCCAAAATTGAAGTAGAGGCAGGGAGGGTCCTGGAACCCTCACTTGAGTACCTAGCCACACTCCCAATCTGTGGTGGGCAATCTGGCCCTAACTGCATGCTGCCTAGGGGAAGGGTAGAGCATGTATACTGAGGAACACTAAGGGAGGAGCTCCGGCTGCTTGGATATGGGGAAGCCATCATCCATGCTGGGTGAAGGCTTTTTGGTGCAGCCTTAGTGGGGAGCACTCACATTCCTGTAAGTAAACCCTCACCCATCACTCAGTAAGTGGTAACTGGTTTCCCAGAGTGTACTTTGGTGGAATATTACCTTGGTTTGTCCTTGGGACCAAGGGAGGAAGGGGTGTTGCTTATGCTGAGGAATTTTAGCACCACCTTATCATAAAAGATGAAGCTGGGGCAATGGTTCACTAAGTAAAGCACTTGCTGGAGGCAAAGCGTGAGGAGCCGGGTTCGAATCTCTAACACTCATGTGAAAAGTCAGGTGTGGTGATGGCCTGTCTGAAGGGATGGGTATATTCTAAAGAGACATTTGTGCTTCCCTCTTTGGGTAATGGGACTATTTAAAGAATGGAACTCAAGAAATTAGTATTTCCCCAGGAATCTCCTGCAGAGAGGAACTGGCTGAAGTCCCAGGGTCACTAGTGGAGGAACTCGTCTCCTGAAAAAGATTTACAACTGGTGAGATGACGTTGAAGAATCGGGATCCCAGAGGTGATGGGCAGGACCTCAGCATGGCTGCCTGTTTAGCTAAGCATGCTTCGGCCCTTCTACTTGAACCCTAACCCTCACGTTAGGAGCCCCCTCCCAAAGGTGGACTGGGAGGGTGACAAAGAATATTTTTGTTCCTCTTCCCAGTATGTGTGGCCACATTGATGAAATCTCCCTTGCCTGTTTTTCAATATTAATTTGGCTTATTTATTTAATATTATTATTATTATATTTATTTTTTTTTGAGATATAGTCTCCCTGTAGCCCCAGCTGTCCTAGAACTCACTATGTAGACCAGGCTGGCCTTGATCTCACAGAGCTCTGCCTGCCTCTGCCTCCTAAAGTGCTGGGATTAAAGGCATGCCCCATCATGCCCTACTTTTTTAATTGACTTATTGAGGAACAGAGGCTGAACCTGGCTTGTTGGGACACAGGTTGTGATCCCTAAGCCAAGTAATTTGTAATTACAGGCTGGAGAACTGGTTCAGTGGTTAAGAGCACTGGTTGCTCTTGCAGAGGACATGGGTTCGGTTCCCAGCACCCATGTGGTAGTTAACAACCATCTGTAACTCCAGTTTCAGGGAATCTGATGTCCTCTTTTGGCCTCTGAGGGCATTAAACTCATATGCACGTGTGTGCATGCGCGTGCACA